GGATGGCCTCGAGACAATGCCCAGGCTTGGCTGGAGAGGACGACAGGGACAATGCCCTGTCCTTGCTCCCTTCTCTAGCCTCCCTCCTTTCTATTTTCCATTAAAGTCTGTTGTTTTGTGAAAGCTGCCAGTGTGGTTGGCTCTGCTCCTGCAGGCCATGAGGACTGGGGAGGGAGGGGAGAAATGGAAATGAAATGGGGTGGGCAGGAGCTGGGGCCATTGTGACAGGGGCCTCAAACATCTCTGCCAGCTCTTCTTCCCCGGACCTGGGTCCTTCCCTCCCACTGAGGAGCATGTGGAGCCTTCCAGGGCGCTGCCCCTGAGGATGCTAGGCAAGGCAGAGCCCTGGGACGCAGCAGCAAGGGGGCCTCAAGCCCCACTCTTCCCCGAAAACTCCAGGATAGCCCATCTCTCCTGTCTGACCTGACCTGGAGCTCCGGGAGCATGGCCCAGAAAAGGCCTTGCCCTGGGCTTGGCCAGCTGCCTGAGACAGTCAGCAACCCCTCCCCATCCCCACGGCCCTCTGGTGTGGCTCTGCCTGCTCCCCTGCCTGAGTACATCTCAGCCCCAACACGCTCCTGCTCGTCATACCTAATTGTTCTGCGGTGGTTCGGGAAATGTTTTTTTTTTTTTAATGAAATAAACTTTTTTATTATAAATTTCATATACTTTCAGAACACTTAGTAAATAGTCACCGTAAGCCCACCTCCACTCATCTCTAACCCAAACACTAATAGTATTTTGGTGTATTTCCTTCCAGTATTTTTCTCCAAGGGTTTATTTCTTTTAATGCTGTTGTGATCATTTTCTATGTTGTTACCTAACCTTCATTTTAAATGGCTGCTTACATTCTGTTACGTGGCTTTGCCATGATTTACATAACCATCCCTCATTTAAAAAAAAAACCCCAAAACTATTGTTTGCAAAGCTAAATTATTTTCATTTTTTTCATGGGCTAGAAAAAGAAAAAGAAAAAAATAAGGAACGCCTACACTTTACTGTGTCACTGTTTTCATTTAACGGATCTCAATCCTTTATCATGATTTTGAGGTAGATATTATTTATTTCCATTATACAGAAGAGGAAGCAGGAAGGCTGGGGGTAAGCGAGTCACCCAAGGTCATACTGCAGTTTTAGTGGCGGAATTGGGATTTGAACCAAGTGTCCTGACTCCAGCTGCCTCATTTATATTATGGTTTTAGGGCTTAATGGCCTTTGCAGGTGGGTTTGTTGTCTTCTCTGTCCTCCTTCCAATACAGGGACTTCACAGCCGATCACGTTCCAAGTAGCACTGAGTGACCCATTGCTACCTACACTTTATCTTATATAGCCATGTCCTGATGTCACCCAGAACCCCAAACACAGTCTTTCCTGTGGGAAGATGGGGATGGCCCCATCACTAGGCCTCTTTCTTCCCCACACACCTCCCTTCTGCCTCCCTTTCCATGGTGGGTCCCAGCACTCTCCAAGGGCATATTGGGTCTGACTCCTTGCAAACAGCAAGTGGACCAAATGTCCCAGGCATGGACCAAAAATGAAGCCAGTCTAGGTGGGGACTGGCCTTGAGACTCAGTTCAAGGCCTTCCTCCTTATGGAGGCTCGGCTGGCTCCTTGCCCCAGACCAGTCCTGCCCTTCGGGCCTCTGCTTCTCCTGGCACCCTCTCTGTCCAGCTTCTCCTCCAGCCCCTCTCACTGGCGCAGATGGCCCAAAGGCACAACCTTCAGAGCTGAAAGTGACCTCAAGTGTGTATATCTAATGTCACCTTCCTCTTTTTTCTTATAAAGTACATTTTTTAGACCTTTAATTTTGAAATGATTGTAGATTTATAGTTGAGTCACAAAGATAGTACAGATAGTCCCAGTTACCCCTCATCCAGCTTCTCATGTTAATATGGCACGTAACCATGCACAGTGATCAAAACTAAGAAATTGATTTTAATACAACACTATTAACTAGGCAACAGACTTTATTGGGATTCCACTGGTTTCCCACTAATGTCAGTTCTGTTTCCGGATCCACCTGTGCCTACATGTTACACAGTAGATGTGGCTTCCCCAAGGTTACTCAGCAAGCTAGTGGCAGAGTCCACACTGAAACCAGACCTCTTCCTCCCTGTACCTGGGGCTAGTGCCCTCCTTGCCCTTCCCACTTTGACAAGGGACAGAGTTTGTTGCTCTGGGACGGCCTCTAGCATCACAGACACCCTGGCCCCACCCTGCCTGCCCATCCCTGCCCGTTTCCGAGGTTGCCTATGCTGCCTTCCTGCACAGGTGCTCACATGCACGTACAGGCCTATGGGCCCCAAAATGGCTGGCTTGGGCTTTGCTCCCGTGGGTGCTGTACTGCATGGACACTCCCGTGCACCCCATGCACAGCCGGCCACCCCCACCAGCCAGTGATTTTCCTTTTCTGGGGATGGAGGTGCACGTGCAGAGCAAACTTGATGGAAACCTTTCTTTGTTTCTGGTTCTGGAGGTTTCCATCTCGGCCCTGACCCTGCCTCAACTTTTCCCGTCTGTCTCAGGGACTTTCCTGCCTCAGTTCGGTGTGTGCAATCTTCCTCCGAAAGCCTTGAGAAAGCGTGTTTTCTGTTGTCTCCCTCGGCTCTCCGGAAGGGCTGGTCCACCCCCGCCAGGGCCCTGCCTGTGCCGCCCTTCAGAGTTTACAAGCGGCTTTCATGGCTTTCACGTTGCCTCATGTGCTTCTCACCACAGGGGTGATTAGGTCCACTTCACAGGAGAGGAGTGATAATGGGGGGAGTGGAGCCACGGTTTGTTGCAGTCTTTGCACTTCCAGGCAGTCAGGCTGTCTGGTGTTTATCTCAGGCTGCCTCTGAGGCTTTCCGAGCCCTGCCCAGACATGACCTCATTCTCTCTCAAATCGTCCCTGGGAGGCAGAAAGGAGTCTGGGACCAATGTTATCCCCACTTCACAGATGAGAAAACTGGGGGGTAAACACACACACACACACACACACACACACACACACACACACACACACAGCACCTGTGTTGACAAGCTGCTTTGTAGTCCTGGGGTCTTGACTCTTAGCCCTGTGAGTTCAGTGGTTTGGGAGGTGGGGGGTCTGGGGCTGGGGACGGCAATATTCATCAAGTGCCTCCAAAAGGACTGTGGGACCACTGGGGACCCCACGGCCTAATACAAGGCCCTGCTTCTGGGGAACTCACAGTCAGTTCAGCGTGTAAGAAAGGCCTAAGGAGGCTGATCTGCTGTGGCTGGAATTCCCAAGGGTAAAGTCTGGGTCCATGGCAGCCCTGAGGGCACATTCCATAAAAGTGGGCCTTCGTGTGGTAGCAACACATGCTGTGGCCAGGAGGGCCCAGCCAGGGGCTTGGTGGCCTGCCTGGTGATGGTGACCTATGCAGACATCACAGAGCTTCTCCCATGTCTCACATTCCCAACAACCCTGTGAAGGAACAGCTATTGTGAGCCTACTCTCTATGTGAGGAAACTGAGGTCCACAACTTATCCAGGAACACAGAGCCAGCCAGTGAGCAGAGGCCTGGCATCTGGTTCCAAGTCCATGCTTTGTCTGTCCCACCAAACCACTGTCCCCTCAAAAGGGAGATGCACAAAGCCAGCAGGAGGGAAAGGGGAGACCTAACTGAGGATGAGGAGCCCAGACTTGGCTGGCTTCGCAGTTCCACTCCAGCTGGCCCTGCCTTCCTGTCCTGAGAGGAGGTTAAAGGAAGCTCTGAGGAGGAAAGGTCAAGCTGGGAGAGAAGCAGGAGCTCTCCAAAACCCACACCCTGCTCTCGATGTGGTTGGCTGAGCCAGCTGGGTGTGGGGGCAAGAGATGAAGGAGCAGGACCCGGCCCCTGCCCTGGCAGAGTTCTCAGTCTGCAGGGGAGAGGACCCTGAAACTACTGGGAAATGCGGTGGGCAGGGGTCAGGACACTGATGAGGGCTATGTCCACTGATCCCAGGCCCCCTCTCTGACCCAAATCCCCTCCTCCCACCACCAGCCACACCTTGACCATCCCAGCCCTACTCCCTCCCTCTTCTGAAACCTGTGACACCTCCTTGGCCAAACCAATCATTTAGCACTTGGTTTATAATCCTGAGCTGACTTTTTATTATCGTCTATGTCTACTTCTCCAACTTGATCAGAATCTCCTCCAAGGCAAGAGCTAAGTTCTCCCTGCTACGATGACATTCAGTACATTTTTAGTGAAAGAAAGAGGTTATTTGGGAAGTGATCATTTCGGTCAATGAAGTGATATGTTTATGACCAAAGCTGGACAGCGGGTCCCAGCCTCGGCCCCGGGCCTCTGTGACGTTATTGGGTTTGTTGTGATGCCACTGTCGCTGGCTACAGTGGCGCTCCGCAGCCTGCAGGCCGGATGACGTAACCATCGGAACCGGTGCGGACATGTGCGCGCTGGAGAAATTAGCAAGGCTGGCGGCTGGAGGTGCGGGTAAAGAGCGAGGAGCAACGCACCCAGAAGCCGAAGCTGGGCGGGGTCCGCTCTGCGGGGTAGGGAGCCTGGCCCGCTTACAGACTGGTCCCGCCCCGCGGTGACCAGCCAGCCAATCCGGACATGCTGCGGGGACGCGCAGCCTATCAGCGGCCGGGGCTCGGCCGCAGCTTCCACGTTCGCGAGCATGCCCAGCGCGAGTACGCGGGGGAGGGGACGAAGCACCGCGGGCCGCGCGGGTCGCACCCCGCCCGGCTAGGCGGGTTTGCGGGACACGGCTGCAGCCTCCCAAGGAACCCGATGGCCTGGGAAGGCCTGGCGGGGGAGCTGGCGGCGGTGCTGGAAGGCCGGGGGCTATGCGTGCAGAGCTGTGACTCGGAGCCGACCGGGGAGCCGCCGGCGCCGGTGCGGCTGCGGAGGAACGTCTGCTACGTGGTGCTGGCCGTGTGCCTCAACGAGCAGGTGAGCGTCCACCCGCCGGCCCCTTGCCCGGGTCACGGAGCGCGCAGCCAGTCCCGTGGGGACAGAGGACCTACCGGCAGCAGCCATCGCTTCTTTGTGGGTGGCGCTTCCTAGTTTTGCAAAGCACTTGCACTTACACTGACATATGAGCCTCGTGCGGCCCAACCCTACGACTGTCCGATGTACAGAGGAGGAAACTGAGGCCAGGAGCCTGTTTATCTTATCATACTGGGCCTCAGTTCCTTAAAGTGGGGGGACTGTCTTAATTCTCCTTCCTTTCTCCAGAATCTAGCATAGTGCCCAATGTTGTGGAGTGTGCCCTCTTAAAGATCTGTCCAGTGCTGCAGAGATCTCCCCAGAGTCCCTTGGACAGTAATGATGCAGCCTGCACTTAACACCCGGATCTTCTCACCCCTGTGTGATGCTCTTTTTGGCGCTGGTCCCTGTACAAGTTGTTGTAACAACAACTAGAAGGGGCCAGGGCCAAAGATAGGAGTTGTATAGGGTGGGGGCATGTTTCAAAACCGAGACTCCAGTGAGAGAAAAGGCCACAAGCAGTTTGTAAACCAGGAGGGGAAGCGAGAGATACAGTGATAGACAGTGCAGACAACTTGGCAACCCCCACTGTGGGGCCTGATCCCCAGGCCCTGAGGCAGCTCCCAGGAATCTTAGTCTCTTTCTGAGATGGAAGTCTGAATGCAAAAGCATGAATTGCAGAGAGGGGTATCTGGCATCCACACAAGGGTCAGTCCCTGGGAGAGCTCAACAGTCTGGGTTAAGAGCTCTACAGCACCTGAGCTCAAGTGTCCACCAGGAAGCGGGTACTAGGCAACTGTGTTTGAGATTTCTGGCCCCAGGGCAAGGGAAAGTTGCTGGCTGTGCTGCTCCTTTGGAGCCTCCTGCCTGGCTGTGTGGGGGTGAGGATCCTTTCTCTCTTCAGGATGAGGTGCTGCTAATCCAGGAGGCCAAGAGAGAGTGCCATGGGTCATGGTACCTACCCGCGGGGAGAATGGAGCCCGGAGAGACCATTGTGGAGGCACTGCAGCGGGAGGTGAAGGAGGAGGCTGGGCTGCATTGTGAGCCTCTGACTTTGCTGTCTGTGGAGGAGCGGGGCCCCTCCTGGATCCGTTTCGTGTTCCTCGCTCGCCCCACAGGTATGGCCCACCTGGTGGCAGCATTGGCAGGGGGCAATTGACACCTTTCCCCCAGCATGACTTCCAGTGAGATGAGCTCCTATTCTGGCTGGTCCAAGTCTGGCATCTGCAGATTCCAGCCTGAGGGTCAGGGCTAGAATGGTTGGGTAGCTTTTGACTCTGCCAGGCCCAGCACTTCTCTCAACACAGACCCTTTTCCCCACCCCGTTCCCCACACCTCCCCCAGGTGGAGTTCTCAAGACTTCCAAGGAGGCAGATGCGGAATCCCTGCAGGCTGGCTGGTACCCACGAACCTCCTTGCCCACTCCTCTGAGGGCCCATGACATTCTGCACTTGATGGAGCTGGCTGCCCAGTACTGCAAGCAGGCCAGGCATCCTCTTGTTTTGCCCCAAGAGCTTCCCTGCCGTCTGGTCTGCCAGCGGCTCGTGGCCACCTTTACCAGTGTCCAAACAGTGTGGGTGTTGGTGGGCACGGTGGGGATGCCTCACTTGCCCATCACTGCCTGTGGCTTTAACCCCATGGAGCAGAGGGGTGGCATCAAGATGGCTGTCCTGCGGCTGCTACAGGAATGTCTGACCTTGCACCACTTGGCAGTGGAGACCAAGGGGGTGCTTGGACTACAGCACCTGGGCAAAGACCATACCGATGGCATCTGCCTGAATGTGCTGGTGACAGTGGCTTTTCGAAACCCAGGTATCCAAAATGAGCCCCCAAAGGTTCGGGGTGAGAGCTTCTTTTGGTGGAAGGTGATGGAGGAAGACCTACAAAGCCAGCTCTTACAGAGGCTTCAGGAGTCATCTGTTGTCCCGGTCAACAGATAGGAAGGTGCCATCGGTGCAAGGAGTTGGGAATCTGTGCTCCCTCCACCATGGTGGCTTTGCCACCCTCTGAGGGAGGCAGGTTAGCGATCAGGGATCCTGTTGCACTAGCAGCAGGGCAGTTCTCCTGCTCATGAGGACTTCATCTCTTCACCGTGGAGCAGGTCCCTACATTGCACCAAAAGGGACAGTGCCTTTAACCGAGCAAGGAGTCCAGAGCTCAAGGCAGTGCTTCCTAAGGGGATATTAGAGCTTTCTGGACCAAAGACAGCATCTTCTCATCATTTTCCATGCCCCCCCACCTTGAAAAGACAGCATCTTCTCATCATTTTCCATGCCCCCCGCCCCACCTTGGTAAAGCCCTAAATCTGGATTCTCAGGCACTTCAAACATGAAGCGGGTGCTGGGGAGGTCGCTGCAAGGGAATGGACTTTGCTGCGTAAACCAGTGTTGCTTACTTTGCCTCCCTGCCTAAATGTCTCTGTGGGAAGTGAGCAGGAAGAGGGGACTGCCCTCAAAAGAGAAGCTCCTCCCTTGTCCCACCAACAGTCACCCAGGCCTTCCCAGACAGCAAGCCGATGCTGCAAGGGCCAGCCAGCAGGGTATGGGGCGACGGGGTCAGGCAGGCTTCCCACTGTCCGCCACAGCCTATCTCCAGCCCTCTGGGGCCCTCTTCATTTTGCTTGCCAGGTAGGAAGTGAGCACACTCCCTTCAAGGTTTGAGCCTTGAGAATGCCAGGGGAGCCCCTGGTGGGGGAGGAGCTGTAAGAGCTGCCCCTGCCTCGGTTTCCTTCTTGAACTCTGCGAATGACCCCTCCCGCGTCACAACCCAAACCAGATGGAAACCCTGTCTTCATCTTCCCTCAGCCCGGCTGAATCATGGTAGAAATTGTTTAAAGAAAGAACTTTATTGAAATTTAAGAGAAAACCAAAGGAAATGAACAAAGAAAATATGGTGTGTTCTCCTCACTGCATCTGAAGTCCAGATTTCTGATTTGGAGCCGGAAAACACTTGATTGGGCTTCCCTTTTGAGCGATGAAGGACCAAGGTAACCTCAAGCCACTTCCTACCCTACCTTTGCCTTTCGTGGCCACCATCTTGTCTTTCTGGACTCTGTAGCTATGGTAGGAATCCTGTCCCCTCTGAGGACAAATATCTTCCCAGTAATGAAACCAAACCCTTTCACTCTGGTTCACTTCTGTCTTAGGGACCCACCGGGCCATATCCACACCAATGGTCAATGATCTTTGCTCCCATTATTTAGCTTACAGTGGTTTTCAACCCTGGGTGCCCATTCGAATCACCTGGAGAGCTTTAAAAACAACTCTGAGTCACCCCTAGAGATACTAACTTAACTCGTGAAGAATGGGGCCAGGGAGTTGGTATTTTAAAAAGCCAACTAAGTGATTCTAACATGCGCTGAGGTGAGAACCATTGACCACCCCTCTTGAGTCTTCAGCTCGCTCTGCCCCAGCACACTCTTGGTGACCCCCTCAGAGGATCTCCACATACATTTAGAGTGAGAGTTTTAAACTATCAGGCCCACTGTTCACTAAAGTAGTTGTACAACGCACGACCTAAGCACCTGAAAATGAAAGTTGCATACAGATGCTCCAGACGGCCTACACCCTCATGGTGTCTCTGAGGCTACTCAGCCCTCAGTCGTGGGCAAGCTGAGCAGAAACAGTGTTGCCAGGAGAGGCTGTTCCTGGCAAGCGCTGAGGAACATCAGATTTGCTCTGCCAGAGCCTGTCTCTGTTTACCACCACCCCACCCCCTCCACCCCAGTGCTGAAAAAGGAACTTAATTTGTCTTCCCTGGGGAGGAAGATGGGCCCGAATTAGCAGTGGAGCCCTGGGCAGAAGGACACGAAGGATGGAGAAGGACAGGGCAGCAGTGTCCACGCAAACCACACCATTTATTGCCATGGTGTCTGGGGGACACCGTGAGAATGCCAAAGTGCATCGAAGCGGGGAGTGTCTGTGATTCCTGGATGCTTGAACATTTTCTGAATTGAAGAGTCCAGACCCAGTTTGCCCACTGAGCTCTGCTCCCGTCCCACACCACACGCACATGCGCACACGCGCATGCACGCACATACGCGGTCTTTCAGAGCAGCGGTTCAAGTCCTCCCCAGCTTGGAGGAATGCGGGAGAGGTAGAGGTCACTGAGTTTGCTCCTCTTTCATGTCACCTCTTGGCAACCTGCAGCTGGCTCCTAGAAGCGGCATGGGCAGGAAAAGGAAGCGAAAGGGGCTCTGGCCTGCTCCTCCCTGCCCAGGAGCAAAGCCAGCAACTGCAGTCCTGCTGAGGTAATGCCTGGCGCCGCCTGTGTGTTCCTGCAGGTCGAGACAGATTCAGGCCGGGTGGGGTAGCAGTCCCAGCCTCCGAGGGCATGCGGGGAGAAGAGCATCAGGATTGCTGTCTGTGCCCCAGTCCCGCTCTGCCAGGCCTTGGGCGCCTGCAGTCAGGTGGGCATCCTGGCCTCATCTGTACCCTGAGCTCCCTTGCTCCCCTGGAAGAGCCGTCCATTGAGAACACTGGGCCTGGCCTTCCCCCGTCTCTGAGTCCCTCTGCCCAGGTGTCGTGGACCTGCTGAGACGGGTTCAGAAGGCGCCAGAGAGAGAAACCAGCTGGAGCTGGAGCCTGGCGCCCAGCCCCAGCTCTCCAGGCCCTCTCCCGCCCCGGTGCAGTTGCATCAAGGTTCTCATTAGCAGCTGCCCCCGCCTGGGCGCGGAGCATGCTTTGGCCATTTGCCATGAGACGGTTGGGGATTTTGCAACAGTGTCCGGGAAGACCAGGCAGGCAGAGAGGGCTACCCTGCCATCTGCTGCCCCTTCGCCAAAGGTTAAGTCAAGGAAGCAGGAAGAAGAAAGGTCAAGTTTCAGCGGCATCTATGGTACCTAGGGTGACAGTGACAGGGCTCCCATGTCTACATCTTTCTGACCTACGGTTCTGACCAGCCTCGGAGCCATCGGCTCACTCCGCGTTGTGCCCTTGAACTGAGTCACAAGTCTTGGCCCACGCCACAAATGGCCCGTAGAGCAGGTGACAGACACAGAACACAGGAGAGTCTTGGTTCAGGTGCTCACTTGGCCATCACTGAGCTTCCCTGGGAAGGCCTCAAGGATACCATGCTGCCCGGGAGGTCCCCTCTTTTGCTTCTTGGCTTTTGGTACCTTGGAGACCCACTTCCTGAAGCCCAGCCTGGTGTAGCTAACAAGGAAGGGTGTCTGAGGTATCCTGGGAGCCAAAGCCCAGGCCTCCAGAGGCAGAGGTCCCTGGATACAGAGGAGATGGAGCCAAGCCCCCACCTGGGAGAAGAGTGGTGGCGGCTGTGCCAGGCGAAAGGCAGCTCCTGGGCAGAGGGGAGGACAGGAGCCTCCCCTCCCGTCATGCTCCTGGCTCAGACATGCCCTTCCGGAGGTGGAGAGAGGCACAGGTGAGGACCATGGGGCGGGAACTTGACGAAAGCAATGGCAGCCAGCTCCTTGCAGAATTCCTCCAGGACTACCACACCCTGGAGGAGGGTCTGGTGGTCCAACCTAAGGGAGAGAGCACAGGGTCATGGCTAGGAGGCATGAGGTGTGCCCCCAGTGTGACGTCCCAGTGTCACCGAGGCATAACCCAGTAGCAGACCCCCTCTGAGTGAGGACAGAGCTCAGCAAGGGGTCCTCTGCGCCCTGGCCTGGCATCTCCCTGCCCTGAAGCATTCCGCCCTCCCAGCCAGGGCTCTTCGCCAGGCACCCGCTCCCCTCGGTTACTTACTGCTCCCCAGGGACCTGACCCATCAGCTGCTTGCGCACCAGGAGCAGTTTTCCTGGGAACTGGGGTACCCTCTGAATTCTCTGCATCAAGTCCCCAATTACCTAGAGGAAGAACAAGAGAAGACTGAGATGGGGACCAGGGACACTCCAGTGGGCTGGCTCTGCTGTATCTGTATCCGCTGTAGCTCAGTGTGGTATCTGTGCTTCCCCTGGTGCTGGCAAGGGTCCCCACTCCTGCAGCCCCCGACCACCCTGTCCTGTTCCCCTCCCTCCCTGCCCCACCACTGGCACATACCCTCGGCCAGGCATCCTTACCCGGACGAGCACAGAGAATAGGCTCCTGCAGCCAGGGGCCAGGTTGATGTAGGGGTCCAGGAGGTACTCGTGGATAAGGGGGTGGGGGAAGAGGGCGAGCCGAGACAGGACTGAGGTCACTTGCAGGTTCAGGCTGTATGGCTGCAGGGAACACGGTGGACAAGCTGAGGGTTGCAGCGGGCGGTGAGCATTTTTGCACACCCCCGGAAAGGCGCCTGGCCAGTGTGAACGTGTGCGGGGGTGAGAGACTCACGTGATGTGTGTGTGTGTCATGGATCCCCTGGGGCTGAGGGCCATAACATGTTAGGGCGTGTGGAGCAGAGGCGAGACCGGGCTTCTCGCCTGGCGAAAGTTGGGGGGTGGGGGTGGTGTGGAGCTGAAGAACCGAATACGACTCAACCCCTGTGGTCAAGCCCTGCTCTCCTGAAGGACTCCAAAGGTACCCACCTGGGGTGCTCCTGTGAGCCCGCACCCTCTGGCTGGGCCCAGTCCTATTGGCTACCTGTTCCAAGATGCGGGACATGCGGTCAAACAGCATTCGGAGGAAGTGACCCTCAAAGAAAGGCCGCTCGGGCTCATGGGGGTCCAGGGGTGTGAGTGCCAGGGGCCAGCCCCAGGGGGCAACTCGGGAGCTGCACTCCTGGAACTGAAACAGGAGAGAGAGTTAGGGGGAGGCCTGTGGTCAGCACACAGAGGGGACCGCACGGGAGGTGGGCTCAGGGCTCTTGGCTAGAGCTAGGAGCATCTTGGGCAGAGCTCAAGGAGGCAACAGGTAGAGTTATCAATCTCACAGCTTTAAGGGGAGAGCAGTGGGTGTTGGCAGAGGCCTCAACACTCACCAGTCCGTAAGCATCGTGGACATACGTGTCATATCCAGTGTCTTCCAGGAAGGCTGAGGTCTTGGCTTCCTCAGGCACGAGGCAGAGGAAGCTGAGAGGCAGAAACCTCGGTGTCGCGGGCCTCCCCTGGTGCCCTGCCTGCCCTGTTCCACCCCCGCCCAGAGGAAACACCTCCTGCCCTGCACCTCATCAGGGCTACGGCTAAAGGCAGAAAGACTCAAGTGGCTCAGACTTGCTGACCTGCCCCCTACCTGTTGACAATTTCAGTCACTGCCGTTTTGCCATCTGAGTTGGTGGCAGGGGCTGGGGGGTGCTTGGCAGAGGGCTGAAAGCCAGCATTGAGGAGGCCATCTGTGAAGTAGGGGTCCTCCTCCAGGTCTCTGTGGCCAGGGCACACATGCGTGACACCAATGAACCAACGAAAGGGTGAGAGTGGGGGTGCTGAGGGCTGGGGTGGGGCCTGGGTTTCACTTACAGGGTGTCCTCATAGCTCTCAGGCTCCGGTGAGCCCCGGACCACATACAGGCGGCCCTCGAGGTGGCACAGGATCAGACTGCGGATGATTTGCTCATGGGGCTTCTGAAGCAGCTCTTCAAACAGCCGCAGCGTGGCAATGCTGATCTGGGGCAAGAAGGGGCCAGCGGGATGTCCCTTCCTGCCCCAGCTTCTGGCTATGCCTAGGAGTTGTTCACCCAGACGGGGATGTGCCCCTAGAAAGGGTCCCCTCCTTGGCAGGTTTTGGGAGGTGTGAATGGGTGTTGGCACGGGAATCGGAAATCTGGCTGGTCCCAGTTCCATTACTAATTCGGTGAGCAATATCGGGCATGACAGTTGGCTTCTCTTTGCCTCAGTTTCCATGTCCGATAAATGGAATATCGGCCTCAGCTACTTCACAGAGTGGCTGTAAGCCTGAAACAAGCCCAATGAATATAAAAGCAAAATACAGAGTGCCATCACAAGTATGTGATCACGGAAAATGACTGTGTGACAAAGCAGTCTAGTCACCGGTTGCTGCATCACTGTTTTAGGGTTGAGGGGAATGTTCCAATGTTTCAAAGGCAGAACCACCTGGAAAGCTAGTGAAAATGGAAATCTCTTTGGCAGGGGTGGGATGGCAGCGAGTGCTGCTGAGGGCCCTCCCTCCTCACCTCATCAGAGAGGTGGTCACAGTGCCTGACAAGGTGAGTGCGCAGAGTGCAGGGGCTGTCCCCAGGGACTGCAGGCCGCTGCTCCGTGCCCAGGAGGAAAGCCACAGCCTCTCGAAGCAGCGCAGGGGAGCGGAGCTGGCGCAGCAGGGCCGTGAGCAAGGCGGTGGTGGTGAGGATGCTCTGCTCGGACCTATGAGGAGAGAGCACTGAGCCAGGTGGGGGCGGGGAGGCCAGACAAACAGAGACTGGACGAGTGTGGGGGTGGCAGAACCCCTTTCTGGTTACCTTCTCTGGCTAGTGTCTCCCTGCTCACTCCCATCCATCCTGAGGTCCTGGGGTCCAGGGCAGAGGCCTTTGCCAGCTCACAACAGCTCTGAGCCATGTGTATTGGGGGACAAGGCCTGGCCAACATGAACTGATGGAGCCCACAGACTCACTTACTCAAGGAGTTCCCTGGCCATAAGGACAGGATGGGGCAGGTGGGGTGGGTGGCTTGATCCAGACCATGGCCACATCTGAGGGGACTGGACGCAGACTTACACGTGCAGGAGCTGGGGCTGCAGAATCTCCACAAATAACTTCTCAGCCACAGCCTTTGCCAAGGCATCCGCAAACACCTGGGCGCCAAAAAGCGTGTCTTAAACACACTTACCTTCGGCGACAGTTTTCCGCTGAGAAATAACTATCTTTGCACAGCGTCCAAGACAACAGGGACAGGGTCCCGGCTAACCCAGGGCTCTGCCTGGCTCCTGGGAGACCCACTCAGTCCTTGAGGTGGAGACAGTGAAGGGAGCAGTGCGAAGCAGGGAACGCTCTCCTTACCGTGTGTGCCTCCATGATGAGCTGGTCGCAGTAATCGAACCACCCCAGAAAGGCAGCCAAGGCCTCTTTGCCAGGGAAGGAAGCCTCATCAGACGGGGCACTGGGTAACCTGCGGGGGGTTGAGGGAGGCGCTGTGAGGCCTGCCCCTGCTCTGCTCTGCTCTGTTCCAGGAGCTGAGCCCTTCCTCCTAGGCCCCGGAATCTCTGGGGCAGGGCAGGGACATGGGCGGGGGGTGGGGCGAGGTGGTCAGTTTTACTGGGGGCTCTGTGGGCAGAAGCAAAAGTGAGGCTTCCCTGGAGGGTGAGAAGGCCCTTGGGACAGGCTGTAACCTCTGGAAAAGGGTGGCCAGCAGGGGTCCCCATCCCTCCTGGAAAACAAGAAGAGCTGGCTACCAGAGGACACGCAGGGCTTCCAGCCCCTGAAGATGCAGCCTCGCCTTCCCTGGCCAAGCACCTACCTCCAGCTGATACCTTCCAAAGCAGCAACGTCTGCAGGGTCCAGGAGGGTGGGCATGGACTGGTACAGCTGGCAAAGGTGCTCAACGATCACAGGGCAACAGGGGCTGCTCTGCACCAGGTAGGTGGCGGCTGCCTGGGAAGCCACGCTCACCAGGAGCAGCAGGTTCTCCTGGGCCTTCAAGGCCACCCGACCTTTCTAGGGGACAGGGGTACAACTTCAGGGGCATGCACCTGAGCCCCCAGGTCTTCTCTGAGCAACCCGGCCCCCAACCCCAGCACAGGCCTTCTCGGCGGCGATCACCTTGCTCTTGCACAAGCCAGTCAGGGAGGTGATCAGGTTGCTCTCCCCAATTCCTCCATCAGGCTCCTCAGTCTCAGCAGGCAGCGGGGCTGTCAAGCCCCAGGCCCCACAGGAACCCCTGTCGGGGGCCCTGTTGTGGGGGCTCGCTGGCTCTTGAGGCAGGGTGGTGGGTTCTCTGGATGCCTTCTTCCTAGTGACAGTCTTTTTACCCTACAACGGAGGCTGGATGGGGCCAGGTGGTGGTGGAGTCCATTCCCCATGCTGCCCCCTTGGGATGTGCAGGATGTGCTGGCTGTCAGGGCCTCGGCACGGGGCTGGAGGGGAAGTCGCCCGAGTGCCTCCCTAGTGACCCACGCTACCTCTGCTTCCTCCAAGGGGCTTGCCCTGGGTCTGGGCCCTCCCGTCCTGTTCCCCAAGGAGGCACTCACTTCCAGGATGTAGGTGAGCAGGGCCGGATCCTGCTGGATCTTGGAGCAGAGGACGGTGGTGAACTGCACCTCCTCCTTTTCTGTGAGGGATCCGGGAACTGTCCCACCAAGCCGGAGAAGTTTCTGGAAGGGGAGCAGGACAGAAACGGAGAGGCAAGAGTGGCAGAGAAGAGAGGAGGTTTTACCCCCAGACACCTCTTAGGCCCCTCACCTGCACAGGCCTGTGGACATTGAGGTAATGCAGGAGGGGGTGCTGCACCTGGGCCAGCACCTTGCTGAAGAACTGGAACACCTGCTGCCGCATGCCTGGCGGGTACTGCGGGTCAGGGAACAGAATGCCTGTCAGGAGAGGAAGCTGTGGCCCCGCCTGGAGCACTGCCCCCCACCCCCACGCAATTCCTCCCCTCCTCGCTGCTCAGAGGGCACCTTCGCTGTGAGCCTCCTCCCCGCTGCTGAAACTGGCCTTGTCTGCGCTGCCGGCTCCCTGTCCTGCTTTCTCTTTCTCCATAACCTTGTCATTACTGAAAACCCTACATGCAGCCTCCTTTGTCTTAATCACTGCTGTGTCCCCAGCAGCTGGGACACAACCTGGCACTTGGCTGGTCCTCAGCACATCTCTGCCGACTGAACGAAAGGGAGCCTTTCCTCAACCTCAACGACAGCGAGAATGAGACATTAAAACAGATAAGCAAGGGGACATCGGGGGAGTGCTAGGTCAGCTGGCCCCAGTGCCCCTGCCCCTCCATTGCCTCCAACACTCCTTGCCCCAGTGTCAGGACTAGGAGGAGCACACAGGTGGAAGAGCCTGGAACTCAGGGGCCTGGCTTGCACAGAAGGTTCCAGAGGCCCCGAGGCCCCGCCTACCTCGGCTTTGCCCAGGGTGCACAGGGTTTCTAGGATCTTGTGCTGCAGCAGGTACTCGAGGCAGGGCCCGGCCTCGCCCGCTGCCTGCTGCCGCTCCTCGTACACCAGGATGTCCAGCATCTGCTTCAGCCGCCAGGGAATGTCCGTCTTCTTGGCTGGGGTGTTTTCATCTGAGATTTAGGTAAAAGGGTGAGTGGGGGGAAGATGGCACTCTGGCTCCATGGGGTCAAGCTGGTGGGGCCTGGAGCTGGGGTGGCTGAGGGCAACCTAGAGTGAGGCCAGGTTAACAGTCTGCTTCAAAGGCTGGTGGAAATGGAAGTTCACAGTTGATGCCTTCATATTTAAAAACACAGAAGACATAGAACAAGGCCCAGGATACAACTGAGAATGTGTACATGCCCCAGTGCTTTATCAGAGGGAAGAGCATCATTTTTTTCTCCAAACCCTGGGGCCTACAGAAGGATCTTTGCTAGGGCTGCAGGCCAGCTCTGGGCCTGAGTGAGAATCTGTAGGCTCAAGGGTCTGTCGTATAATTTAGAAGCTGTCTTCTAGCAGCTTCCTGACAGATAACCTTCTGAAGCCCGTTTCTGTCCCTTTCACATTCATAGAAGGCAATACTCTGTTTCTTAAAAAGCAGGAAAAAATAATCTGTGCACGACCAAGTGTTTGGACTCAAACCTGCTGTACCGTGTAGAGGTCCTGATGGAGAAGGTGGCCTGTGGGGATTTCTTAGGCAGAGCTGCAGTGGGTGGAGGATTTTTTTTTTTAAGTTTTAGTACTCTGAGACAGGCCTTGGAGCACCCCCTAGTTTTCGTGAACACACGGGGCTCTTAACAGGAAAAAATAATCTGTGCACGACCAAGTGTTTGGACTCAAACCTGCTGTACCGTGTAGAGGTCCTGATGGAGAAGGTGGCCTGTGGGGATTTCTTAGGCAGAGCTGCAGTGGGTGGAGGATTTTTTTTTTTAAGTTTTAGTACTCTGAGACAGGCCTTGGAGCACCCCCTAGTTTTCGTGAACACACGGGGCTCTTAAGTGAGGTAGCCTGCATCATCTACCGCCTACTGGTGTAGGG